CAGAGCTGACACACAAGGCTCTGTGTATGAGAATTACTGCTGTGACTTACAGGGACCATGTAATCACCAACCCTCTCCTCCTGTTACCTTTCTTTTCTTTTCTTTTCTTTTTGGCCACGTGTGAGGCTGTGAGGCTTGCAGAATCTTAGTTCCCTGACCAGGGATGGAACCCACGCCCTCGGCAGTTGAGGGTGTGGAGTCCTAACCACTGCACCACCGGGGCAGTCCCTCCTGTTACCTTTCACGTCAACCTCTGGGACCCTTGGTCTTAAAACTCATCTAAGAGAAAACCATTGAACACTCTGACCACCAAATGCGTGGAGTTTTCCCTCACATTAAGTATTCCTGACACCAACTACCAGAAGTTAGTGCAGACCCCACCGGTTAAAGGGTCAGTCCCACAAGACTGTCCCCCCCAACTTCAGATGCAGATCAAAAGTAGGTGGGTCCCCAGGTTGCCCACACTTCTGCCCAGCCTGGCTACGAATCAGAGTTTCCATGACACCCTCCTCAGGTTCAATAATTCGCTAGAACGGCTCAGAGTACTCGGGGAAACAGTTTTATTTACTATCACTAGTTTATTACGGAGGATGTGACAAAGGATAAAGATGAACAGCCAGCGGTAGATAGGGCGAGGTCTGGAAGGGTCCCAAGTATAGGAGCTCTTGTCCAAGTGGAGATGGGGGTGCGCCATCCTCCCAGTACAAGGATGCCTTCCCCAACCTGGAAGCTAGGGGCTGGGGAGCTGAAAATTCCAATCCCCTAATTGCACTGTTGGTTCTTGTGGCAGCCAGCCCCCATCCTGGGGCCTGCCGAGAGCCACGTCATTAGCATAAACTCCAGTAAGGTTGAAAGGGCGTGTTACGAATAGCAAAAGACGCCCCTTTCGCCCCCATCACTCAGGAAATTCCAAGGATTTTAGGAGCTCTGTGTCAGGAACCAGGAATGAAGACCAAATATATATTTCTTATTATATCATAAAATCACATCATCGCTCCCTAGGACTACCCCCCGCATTTCTCTAATTCCAGCTCGATAACTGGAAATCCTCCAGCCTCATCTTTATCTGATGCTCTGGCCATTCCACAATGGTGTGCAGGACAGAGGACCACTGTCAAGCTGGAATTGATTAACCTGAGGGTTATCAGGGTAGATTATCCTAGGATGAGACAATTTCTAGGCCCAGACTCAAGTATACTTTGTATTGTGCAGATGCATTACTGTCCTGAGTTACAAGATTCATTTGTTTCCCAACAAATATGCATTGAGCCCCTGCGGGGCATAAAGATCCCTGAAGTCATACTTCTTCCCTCCCCAGGGGCCACATAAGCCCGCAGAGCCAGGCATTCCCACCACTATGCTTCAGGGTAATGAGCACCTGGGTGATTGAAGTTGGCCCTGTTCCAGCGCTGTTTATATAATTCAGTGAGGTCTGGGGAAAATACAATGAAAGCCACAAATGCAAACCACATGTGTAATTTAAAATTTCCTAGTAGGGACTTCCCTGGCGGTCCAGTGGCTAAGACTCCGCACTTCCACTGCAGCGGGTGCCGGTTCTATCCCTGGTCTGGGAACTAAGATCCCACATGCTGTGCGGCAGGGCCAAAAAAAAATAAGTAAATAAAATAAAATTTCCTAGTAGCCACATTTTATTATTATTTTTTAAAAAATTTTATTGGTGTATCGCTGATGCACACTGCTGTGTTAGTTTCAGGCGCACAGCAAAGTGAACCAGCCATGCACATACTCATATCCGTCCTTTTTCAGATTCTTTTCCCATATAGGTTATTACAGAATATTGAGTAGAGTGCCCTGTGCTATATGGTAGGTCCTTATTAGTTATCTATTTTATTTTTTGGCCACTGCCGCAAGGCATGTGGGATCTCAGTTCCCCCACCAGGGGTTGAACCCTGGCCACAGCAGTGAGAGAAAGCACCAAATCCTAACCACTCCCTACCTATTTTATATACAGTAGTGTGTATATGTTATTCCCGATCTACTAATTTATCACTTCCCACCCCCGTTTCCCCTTTGGTAACCATAAGTTTGATTTCAAGATCTGTGAGTCTGTTTCTGTTTTGTAAATAAGTTCATCTGTATAATTTTTTACTAGATTCCACATATAAGTGATACGAATCATATTTGTCTCTGACTTACTTCACTTAGTATGAGCATCTCTAGGTCCATCCATGTAGCTGCAAATGGCATTATTTCATTCCTTTTTATGGCTGAGCTATATTCTATTGTATATATGTACCACATCTTCTTTATCCATTCATCTGTCGATGGACAGTTAGGTTGTTTCCGTGTCTTGACTATCCCAAGTAGTGCTGCTAAGAACACTGGGGTGCGCGGATATGTCTTTTTTAATGTACTCTTGCAAAATGATTAATCAGATGTATTTAACTCACTCAAATGGGCAATGTTGTCATTCCTCCTTCCCGTCCCCACTTTCTCACCCAGCACTGATGCTGTGACTCACTGCTGCGTTGTCCTCCATGGTGTGAGGTCCCTGCTGTTCGCTCTCCCAGTGCTGGGCCAGCCAGGGGGCCTCCAGATAACGTCACCATGACTGGCCTCAAACTGTCCCCTGGAGACCCCTGGGAGATTTTCTTTGCAACATAAATATTCCCAGGAGCAATACTCTCAGGTCGTAAGTGTATTTAACGTCTCCGTTCTCCTTTTACATTTGTTCCTGAATGTTTGCTAAGGCTAGGGAACAATTTTTAGTACCCAGAAAAGCATTCCAGTTCAGGGTGGGGTGGAGGTGTGTACATCAGTTGCTATATCCTGCTAGGATTGCCTGAATTAGCAAATAAAAATATACAATGCCCGGTTGAATTGCAGATAAGCAACAACTCTTTTTTGTTTTTCCTTTGGTGTAAGTGTGTCCCAAATATTGCACGGGACATACTTACACTAAACAAGCATTTGTTGTTTATCTGAAACTCAGATTTAACTGGGTGTCCTGTATTTTATGTGGCAACACTACCTCCAATCAAACAATTAAATTCAAGATTGTATGACTCTCCTTGGACTGGGGAACAGAATCATGGAATCAGCATTACAGGTCAAGATTGGGAAAACTCCACAAATGCTTGGTTGGAAGTAATGAAATACATTTAGGAAGTCTGTACAACAAAATTACCATAAACATTTATTAAGCTGTAATTTTCACAATATTTTAATTCTGTTCTGAAATCGGTCTACAAATATCTCTACATAACACCAAAGCCAGTGATTTAATAAATAAGAGGGACGTACGGATCGCTCTGCCAAAAAAATAAGCCTTATACATTTATGTCTATTTATGATATTTGTAGAATCAGTTTCCCAAGGCTCATGAAACTAAAGTGCGCACACACCACATACGCACACACACACACACCACTATATTCAAATCAAGTGGATTTATAGTATCAAATTAAATGCTACGTAAAATTTATAACCAGATACACAAAATACAAATTTGACTCATGAATACACCGTGGATGATGGGTACCATACCTCACAAATGATTTCCAGTTAAGAGGGAAATAATTGCTTCGCTGGATTTTAAGTGAGAGCTAATCACCACCACGAGAAATCAAGTTAATTACAGTATTCAAAGATTTAACACACATGCGGATATTAAACTGACACTACAATAAAACCTTTAAGTATGCAAAAAGACATTAGAACATATGGTTCATAATAACATTAGCTGCCGCAGATCTTCAGTAGACGGTGCAAAGGACGATCGGCTTTTTATGCCACCACCAGGGAAAAACTGGTCCTGGGGTATCTCCTACCTATCAAGGAATCAATGAAGAGCAGAGCACAGAATCGAGTACGCTGGACAAGGTTTGTTTATCCCCGATACTATATATCATATTGCTGGTCATCCAATACTAATTTTAAGGGTACTGTGTTAGATTCTGCAAAAATATATACTTCTCTTATTCACAAGTGAGGAGGAAAGGTTCAACGACTCAAATGGCCATAAACAAAAATGATGATGTCTTATTTTAAAAAGCTGGGGGAGCAGGTTGACACCTTTAGGACCTTAAAGAATTCCTTTTGTTTTTAATTTTCTTTGGCCGCGCCGAGCAGCTTGCAGGATCTTAGTTCCCCAACCAGGGATGGAACCCGGGCCACGGCAGTGAGAGCACCGAGTCCTAACCACTGGACCGCCAGGGAAGTCCCAGGCATTCCTTTTAAAGTGAGCTGGCTGGATGGGAGAGCTGGTTTTTGGATTACGTCAGCCAATTCAAAACCCATCAGGGAGAAGTGCTCAGGTGTCACGTTGTAAGGCAGGTATCGTTCCTCAAAAGCATCTTAAGAAGCAGCCGGAAGCACGGAGATGAAGCAAAGCAGGGTTCCCACTAGTGAGAAGGTGTCTTCGCCATGTTTCAGATTCTGCACTGGACATCTGACATGTTATTCCTAAGCAGAAGGCTGCTGAATCACAGGGCCAGACTAACGACCAAAGTGATTTGCATCTTTCCTGCAAGCCAGCCCTCGTGGGTGTGCAAAAGTCCTATTATAACCCTCCCAAGCACTGACCCCATCCTACATGTTCACCCTTAGTTCCAACAGGTGATGTCCCCAACTAGCTACTTCCCACCACAGTCAGAAGAGCACAGACCCAGTTCCCCTCCGTCTGCTTCCTGACCCTGCGGGTATCAGGCTTCCTGTGGTCCCACGTGGCATGGTATGCTTGTTGTCTCCAGGAAACTGTGGGTATTAAAAGCCTTCTTTCAACGGCACTAACCTCTCTCGGTCAGTCACTGTCACTGACTGTCTCTCGGTCAGTCACTGTCACTCGGTCACCTTCATAAGTTAAGACCCCTGGCATAAGTCACAAGGCTAGCTTTCAGGAAATTCTGTTGCTGCACTTTGCTACCAGAAATGACATGGGGTACCAAAACAAAAACGAGCAAACCAAAAAACCCGGAAGGCAGGTAACGCGGATTGGTACTGGAAAATATATTTACAGAAGGCTGATGTGCCAGGAAAGCATCTTTGCTAGGATGTCAAGGAAGAGATTGCTCCAAACATTATCCCCAAACACCCACAGAAATCCAGCAATCTGGAGGTAGCTGGTCCTTTTTCTCTTCTGGACTATTTTCTGTTCTCGGTATTTACTGTGATACTGAAGCACTGGGCAATTAACATTGATGCCTTGAAGATATCTAAAAAACTGAGTCTTAACTAAAACAGAGATCCACAGTAGTTTTCATCAGGATGTTTACATACCATGTTGAAGGATGTGTTACGCTAATATATTCTATAGCCCTGAAGATATAAAAAAGGTTTCTCTTCAAGGTATGAGATATGGTACAAAAATACATTTCTCCATGTACAAAAGAGAGAAAAAAGGAAGAGATGAGGAAGGAAGCTTACCCTACAAGCTTCCATGGAATGGAGAAAGCAAAAAAAATAAAAAACCCAAATTATTTGGGGTTAAGAACACGCCCAAGCAACAGTCAAATTTACGCATTAAAAAGCAGGCGTTATTCAGATCGAACATCCATGATTTCTATCAGAATTTCAAGGACTGTTCTACGCTGAAGTGATACCTCTAGTGAACTAATTAACTATTTAACTTTTGTTAAAAATAAAGACATCATTCCATCCCTTTGAGCGTACTGAGCTATAAAACTGGCTTCACAGCCTACACTTAGCCAATCTGGAAAACAAGGTGCATATTCTCGACGGCAATCTCCAGTTGATGCTGTGGCCTGAGTCCACCAGCACCTAGACGCGTGAGCCTCCCTCGATCTACTAGAAGTTAAAATGGTTTTCCTGCCTGGATCTCGGTACAGCACAGTGCCCATCAGGTTTCCATGTGTGAGGGTGGGTGAGAGAACAGAGTGGATGTTAGACCCAGACCCGTAATTTAAGACTTAAAAGCTTTGCGCAGAGAACGTCCATTTCCCTTCTGGCTAACAGAAGCAAATACCTAGATATGCCAGATACACAGAAGCTAAACGCACAGAAGGAAGGAGGGCAAAGATGACCTCCCTGGAGGGCTTCACACCCTGCGCTAAAATAGATTTGTCCGTAAATATCTAACTGACAAAACTGGAACGGTTTCAATGCAAAAAACTCGGGGGTCGAATGCCCACGGGTAAAGATTCGCCCAAGCAAATTCTAGAGAACATGCGTTTCAGGAAGCGAACTGAATGCAGGAGAGTTTGGGTCCCGTTATTGTGCACCTTAATAACAGAAGTTTCATAAACATCCTCAGAAAACATTTGCTTCCGTTTTCCAGGTACTTGTAACCCCAAGTAAAACGTCACAGAAGGGCGGCACACGAGGAGTTGGCAGGCAGCTGAGTTTTCCCCCAAATGATACCTGGACCAAAAGGTCTTGGTCCTACCTGATCTGACAGGGGTCTCTGCAAACCTGCGTAGAGGGGCTCCTGTGAGGGGGCTGCCAGGGCACGACGCAGGTAGGCAGGGAAAGACAGTCACAACCCCCGGCAGCATCCTTTCCTTGCTCTCCTGTGCTTGTTGGTAGCCAGAAAGGGGCATCTCCACTAGCCCCTGATCCAAGCCTTGCAAAGCCCCCTTTGTCCAGGACCCCACAGCTGTCTGCCCTGCACATACCTCTCTCTGCCCTGAGGGACCAGCTAAAAATGAGGTCACCCCAGACTCCAGGCAAAAAGCACCTAACACATGTACCGTAAAAATTTCAGGAAAAATAATTCAGATCTTCTCCAAGTCTGGCTTATTCCTGCTTACTGTTCCTGAGAATGCGTTATAAGCAGCAACAGACTCGAAAATGTTATTAGCTGCTATTGGTTTTCCTTCTAAGGTCCTGAGTCACCCAAAACCGAGATGAAACAGATAAACAAAAAACCCCAGAGAGTGTATCTTTCCTGTATCAACCTAGCTGGCAAATGGCGAAATTAGGACATCAAATAGATTCCTGAATGAACTTACCCAGGCGGCTCCCGGCATCAAACCCCAAAGACATTTCTTTGCCCGGTCCTTGAATTTCCCTTTACAAAATGTTGAGGTTAAGATACATCAAAGTACAGAAGGGGGAAAAAAATCTTAGGTTTTCTACAAATAGTGATTTCTTCATTTAGAAATAGGATTGAAGGGGGCTTGGCTGGGGTCACTAGGATCCAAAAGATGTTTAGTTTCATCCTTGAAACCCAATGGCCCACATTCAGAAGCGACAACATTCAAGAAATCGACATCCATGAAAAACAACGTGAAATGAAGGTCACAGCTTTGGAACCTGAAAAGACTGCACACAGACCTCACCCACCAATCCCTACGCTGCAAAAACAAATGCTTGCCTTGAAACTCTTCCAAAAGGTCGAATTAGCAATTTCTTCCCCTCCATGTAAAGTTTTAAGTTTATTAAAACTTAACTCCATCTGCCTGTGTTAAAAAACCTTACAAAAGGTGTATTTAAATGCTTGAAAAAATTAACTTTATGCTCTATGCACAGATAAACTTCTCTTCCTGTACAGCTAATATGGTTATATCCTTTGTTTAAAAAAGATTTTTTTCCACTAATGACACTTGGTGGGTAGTTCTACACCAACGATCTTGTCCCATTCTTCTCGGAAGATGTCCTAAGAGTTGACACGTGGCTGGAAACACCCTCGCAAAGCGCCACTCTCCTGCTCAGACATGTTTATTAAGATTGTTTGGGGTTTGGCGTTCTTTTTTTTCTTCTTCTTTTTTGTTTCCGGAGAGAGGGCGCTGGGAGGAGGGGACCCGGCCGGCTGGCTGGTTGTCACTTGCCGTTGGAGCGGTCAAGACTCTCCAGCACTCGGTTGAGACGGATGTTGAGCAGTCTGACCTGGTTCTCCAGCTGTTCCAGCTTCTCCTCCACGCTGGGGCCACTGGGGCTGCTGCGCCAGTAGAAACCCATGGGCCCGGTCATGAAGTAGATGGCCACCACGAAGCACAGCGGCAGCACAGCGTTCTCGGGCTCACCCTCGTACTTGTGCAAGATGTACACGCACGACATGGAGAACAGGATGACCCGCACCACCCAGAAGAAGCGGCCGAACACCACGTGCAGGACGCTGAAGGTGAAGCCCAGGGTCAGAGACAAGAACCAGTAGGCCAGGAGGACGACGCCCACCAGCAGGAGGGCACGTGTGGGGCTGTTGGCCACTGAGCTTGGATTGAAGTACTGGGACAGGTTCGAGACTGCAGGACAGAACAGAGGGACAGCGGCCGGTTACATGGGGTCAGGGGGTTCTCTGCAAGCTGGGGGTGGGCAGCTCAGCTCACTGGCTGCGCCTCTGCTACACCCAAGGAATTAAAGTTGGCTGCCTCATTAGCCTTTATACCAAGTCCTGGGAAAAGACAAGGCAACGCGGTCATATCGTGGGTTTGAAACACCTTTCAGGTGGGGCGGAGCCTGAAAACTGGCCTTCAATTTCCTTTCTTCCTGTCTTCCATAGTAACAAATGCCCAGCGTTAGGCTGGGCACACGGCTGCCTAGGATAAGGGCGTTTCCCAGCCTCCCTTGCAGCTACATAACTAAGCTTTGGTCAAGGAGAGGTAAGCAGAAATGTTTTGGGGTGGCTTCCTAGAAGTAGTGGGAATACACCCTTTACCTCTTCTTCTTCTGCCTGCTGGAATGTGGATGTGATGGCTGGAATAGAAACAGCTGTCTTGTGTCATGAGGGAAGGGAGGTCACCTAATTGGGGAGCAATAAGATGGGAGGGGCCTCGGACCCGAGGAGAATGTGCTACAAAGCCACCTACCTGCCTAACCACCTACCTGTGAACTTTCACATAAGAGAAATAAGCTTCCATCTTGTTTAAGCTGCTGTTATTTGGGGTCTCTGTTACTCACAGTCAAACCTAATTGTAACTGGTACCCACACATGAAGTTCCATCTTAAGAATGGAGTGAGGGCTTCCCTGGTGGCGCAGTGGTTGGGAGTCCGCCTGCCAATGCAGGGGACGCGGGTTTGTGCCCCGGTCCGGGAAGATCCCACGTGCCACGGAGCGGCTGGGCCCGTGGGCCGTGGCCGCTGGGCCTGCGCGTCTGGAACCTCTGCTCCGCAACGGGAGAGGCCACAGCAGTGAGGGGCCCGCGTACCGCCAAAAAAAAAAGAATGGAGTGAAATGGAAGACTTGCATCTTCTGTGTGCCTGACTTAAGAAAATTTTCAAATAGAAAATTTCAAAGGATAGTAAAATAAATACTCCTATCAAAACCACCTAGGTTTAACAATGGTTAACATTTTGCTCCATCTCTAGTCACATACCTTTTTTTTTTTTTTACCAAACCATTTGAAAGAGGCACACATCCTATTTCAGCATGCAGCTTTCTTTCCTAGTTTTACTGAGATATAACTGACATACAGCACTATATAAGTTCAAAGTGTACAGCATGACTTGACTTACATATATTGCGAGATGACCACAAGTTTAGTTAGTATCCATCACCTCATATAGATACAAAAAAAAAAAAAGTTTCTTCCTTTTCCTGAGAACATTTAGGATCTACTAACTCTCCTGATAACTTTCAACTATACGGTACAGCAGTGTCAGCTACAGTCATCATGTTGTACATGACATCCCCAGGACGTATCTACCCTATAACTGCAAATTTGTACCTTTTGACCATCTTCCTCCAATTCCCCTGCCTCCCACTTGGTGTCTCTGGCAACCACAAATCTGATCTCTCATTTTATGAGGTTTTTTTTTTAAATTCCACATAAGTGAGATCCTACAGTACTTGCCTTTCTCTGACTTATTTCACTTAGCTTAATGTCCTCCAGGTCCATCCATGTTGTTTCAAATGGCAGGATTTCCTTCGTTTTATGGTTGAATAATACTCCATTGTATATATACACACACCAAAAATTCGTTGTTGTTTTTTTTTTTTAATTTTATTTATTTTTGGCTGCGTTGGGTCTTCGTTGCTGCGCGCAAGCTTTCTCTAGTTGTGGCGAGAGGGGGCTCCTCTTCGTTGTGGTGCATGGGTTTCTCATTGCAGTGGCTTCTCTTGTTGTGGAGCACGGGCTCTGGGCACACGGGCTTCAGTAGTTGTGGCTCGCAGGTTCTAGAGCGCAGGCTCAGTAGTTGTGGCGCACAGGCTTAGTTGCTCTGCAGCATGTGGGATCTTCCCAGACCAGGGATCGAACCTGTGTCCCCTCAACCGGCAGACAGATTCTTAACCACTGTGCCACCAGGGAAGCCCACACCAAAATTTCTTTATCCATTCACCTGTCAATGAACACTTAGGTTGTTCCCACATCTTGGCTATTGTAAATAGCGCTGCAATGAACATGGGGGTGTAGTTATCTCTGTGACAGGGTGTTTTTGTTTCCTTCAGATATATTCACAGGAGTGGAATTGTTGGTTGCTCTATCTTTAATTTTTCTTTTTTTTTGGCCACACTGCATGGCTTCTGGGATATTAGTTCCCAGACCAGGGACTGAACCCGTGCCCTCGGCAGTGAAAGCGTGAAGTCCTAACCACTGGACCGCCAGGGAATTCCCTATTTTTAGTTTTTTGAGGAACCTCCACACTGTTTTCCATAGTGGCTGCACCAATTTACATTCCCACCAACAGTGCACGAGGGTTCCAATTTCCCCACACCCTCACCAACATTTGTTATCACTTATCTTTTTAATAATAGCTGTGCTAATAGGCATGAGGTAATTAATATCTCATTGTGGTTCTTTTTTTTTTTGTAGTACGCGGGCCTCTCGCTGTTGCGGCCTCTCCCGTTGCGGAGCACAGGCTCCGGACGTGCAGGCTCAGCGGCCACGGCTCACGGGCCCAGCCGCTCCGCGGCATGTGGGATCTTCCCGGACCGGGGCACGAACCCGCGTCCCCTGCATCGGCAGGCGGACTCTCAACCACTGCGCCACCAGGGAAGCCCTCATTGTGGTTTTGATTTGCATTTCCCTAATGACTAGTAATGTTGAACCACTAGTAATGTAGTATTGATACATTTTCTTGTACTTATTGGCCATTTATATATCTTTTTTAAAATTAATTAATTAATTAATTTTTGGCTGCATTGTGTCTTGGTTGCTGTGCGCGTGCTTTCTCTAGTTGCGGTGAGCGGGGGCTACTCTTTGTTTCGGTGCGCGGGCTTCTCATTGCGGTGGCTTCTCTTGTTGTAGAGCATGGGCTCTAGGTGTGCAGGCCTCAGTAGTTGTGGCATGCAGGCTCAGTAGTTGTGGCTCACGGGCTCTAGAGCACAGGCTCAGTAGCTGTGGCGCACGGACTTAGCTGCTCCGCGGTATGTGGGATCTTCCCGGACCAGGGCTCAAACCCGTGTCCCCTGCATTGGCAGGCAGATTCTTAACCACTGCACCACCAGGGAAGCCCAGGCCTCCAATTCTTATTAACGATGGGCCCCTTTGTGCCAAGGCAGAGCCAGGTCCGAGGTTGCAGCCTGGAGGAGGTGGGCAAGACCCCACTCACGGGATCTCAGAAGGGAGATGCATAACACACGCACACGGAGAGGAGATGTTACAGCTGAGGGTGAGAACTGAGGACCAGGTTCCTCACACAGGGTAGTCAGGAGGGGCCTCTTGAAGGAGGTGTCACGTACCAGAGACCCAAGCATGGGAAAGATGGGATCAGGCAAAGGGCTGGGAGGATCACCCCCAGCAGGGAACACCTGGAGGGACTAGAAGGTACCAAAGACCCCAGCGTGTCCAAGAACAGGATGTCCTTGCTGCTTGCATTGTCCGTGGTGTGAACCTGGTCGATTCCAAGTGCAGCAAGAAGTCGCTGGGCAGCTTTAAGGACAGTGACCTGACCTGCCTTCTTTGTTCTTTTTTTAAATCACTACTATAAAAGCAGTAATTAAAAAAATTGCTCTGGCTGATTTGCTGAGAAGGGACCCTAGTTAGGAGCTGTGCAGGGAAGGCCCCAGCAGGTCTGAGGCCACTCTTTAGAAACACCTGCTGGCAAGGTGGGCCCTTGGCTGGCATCTGGGAACTCGGATTTCTGGAGTGTGAGGTTGTGATGCATAATAAGAAACATGTATTTGGTGTCCATCCCCATTTCTGGCACAGACTCCTAAGACCCTTGGAATTCCCTAAGTGACAAGTGCAATAAAAGTGTCTTGATAATTCACAGCCCCTTTCACGCACACCTGTGCTTGTTAATCAGGTGATTCTGGAAAGCCTCTCAGGATGTAGGCTGGTTGCCAGGGGAACCAACCAGATGATTAGAGGCTTGGGCCCTCTAACCTCCAGGAGGGGCTGAAGGTTGAATCCATCACCAGTAGCCAAGGAGACAAGAGAACTCAGAACTGGAAGCTCCGAGTCCCTGCCCACCAACCCTGCCCCAGGCATCTCCTTCACCTGGCTGTTCCTGAGTTATATCCTTTCATAATAAACCAGTAATCTAGTGAGTGAGTAAACTTGCCTGAGTTCCGCAAGCAGCTCTAGCAAATTAATTGAACCCACGGTGCGGAGGGGTCGTGGGAACCTCTGATCTACACTAGTCTGTCAGAGCACGGATCTGTGACTGGTGTCTGAAGTGGGGCCGATTGTGGGACTGAGCCCGTGACCCGTGGGATCAGATGCTACCTCCAAGGAGATAGGGTTAGAATTGAGTTCAACTTGGGGGCTCCTGGTCAGCGTCCTGGAGAGCTGAGTGAATTGCATACACATTGCAGTGAGGGCTCCCTCCTCTCACCAAGAACAGGGGCTCCCTGGCTTGGAGGTTTTTACAATCAGTGCGGTTCACGCTGACACCTGCTTTCCTTCGGGGAGTCGGGAATTTGGAAGGTGCAGGCAGAGAGCGCCTACATGACCAGCTGCCAATAAACACCCTGGAGGCTGAGCCCCTATTGGGCATCCCTGGTAGATGACACCTCATTCGGGGAATAAAGGGTATCCTGTGTGACCCCCCTGGGAGAGGGCTCTGGGGGCCTGTGCCTGGTTCCCCCAGACTTTACCCCGTGAGCCTTTTCCCTTTGCTGACTGTGCTTTGTGTCCTTCACTGTAATACACCACAGCTGTGAGTACGACCACATGCTGGGTCCCGGGAGTCCTCCTGGAGATGCACAGAACCCGGGGATGGTCTAGGGGACGACGACACAGACTGCTGCAGGCTTCCTGGAGAGAGGCAGCAGACTGGACCAGGGCCGTGAGCTTGAATTCAAAGGGTTCCAGCAGCTGCCGTCCAATTCCTAGACCAGGGCAGCAACCCCCTGGGGGGTCACACATTGCTCCTTCAGCCCTTTTGATGGTTGTGTGAGCGCCGCATTCCCTGCACTAAATCCCTTTCTGTCTAAGTAACTGGAGTAGCTGGTCACGGACTCCAACAACCTAGAGACTCCACCTCCAGTCCCCGAGGTTTGCCTGGGGGCACACAAGTTGGCACTGCCCACCTGCACCTTATCCTAAATAGCATCTGGGAATCTCAGCTATTTACACACGCAACAATGACAATAAGAAAGGTCCTCTCATATCCTCACTGCCCCCTAGTTTTCTCTTGTGCCACCCGCCGTGGGTACCACTCCCATAATTTGACCAGCACCAGAATGGAACAGTGCCTTCAGATGAACGCCCCCCACACCTACCGTCAAGTCCAAGGACGTCCAAGAGCTCTGCCCAAACTTTCCACAGGGTTTCCACAAACATGTCCACTCCCAGCACGAACCTCTCGGTCAGCCTCGTCAGGAACTGCAGAAACGACAAAGAGATCATTACCGACCCGGCCAAAGCTCCCTCCTGCCTAGTCCGGCCAAGCTTACACTTGGAGGAGAAAACACAGCTGGCCGATGACGAAGGCCACCCCAGGACTGGCCGAGTAGCCCAGGGGACTGACGGAGCTCGGGACTAAGTGTCCAGGTGCCAAGAACCAAGCGAATCTAGACAAATCTCCCTCCTACGGGGGAAGGGATGCATCGGGGGAGCCGGGAGCTCTCTGCAGAGCTGCTCACTCCACCTCCGATTCCTCCTGGAGTCCTCCTGGAGCCCTTCTAGGTCGACTCTTTTGTCAAAGTCTCTGCCTGATTTCTCATTTTTAAACAGTGGGAGGTGCTGCAACCAACCTATTTCCCCCGGAGGCTGGGACGTTGCTGCACGGGAGCAACTCTGAAGGGCGAGAACTGCGGTTCTCACACTCAAGTCCCATCAGCATCTCCCTAGCGTGTGCAAACAGTAGAGAGAGGCCACGTCCATCCCAGCTTTAAGGACCCAGGGCTACTGAAGCTCTCCGGGGATGAATATGAGGTGCAGCTTCATGTCACTGTATTTAAAAAAAATATTTATCTTTTTGGCTGTGTTGGGTCTTAGTTGCGACACGTGGGATCTTTCGCTGTGGTGCCCGGGCTTAGTTGCCCCCACGGCCTGTGGGATCGAACTGGAGTCCCCTGCATTGCAAGATGGATTCTTAACCACTGGACCACCAGGGAAGTCCCATTTTGCTGTATTTTTTAAAAATAAGTGATATTAAAAAAATAATAATAGTAAGTGATATTCTCGGACTTCCCTGGCAGTCCAATGGTTAGGGGTCCGCGCTTTCACTGCTGAGGGGCCGGGTTCAATCCCTGGTCAGGGAACTAAGATCCTGCGTGCCGTGCAGTGCGGCCAAATTTTTAAAAAAAGTGATATTCTATACACATGGTATAAAGTCTCACTCCCCGCAACCCAAACCCCCTTCCAGTGGCAGTGCTGTTACCACTCGCTTGCAGATCCTCTCTTAGATGCACCGGGTGAGGAATGGCAGAAATATTTCCCCCATAAACGGCAGCATATGTGTACAGTTCTGCCGTGTTTCTCATGGAACACTCAGCCTTGATTATTCAACTTCAGGCAGGACAGAGAGGCCTCATTCTTTGCAAAGATGGCACACCTGCAGCTGCTTATCCAATCCCCTATGGATGGGCACCTAGGTTATTCCCAGCTTCCCAGGGGGACCAGAGTGTTGCAAGGCTCACGTGTAGAGGTTAAATGCCTCGAAGTGAATTGGTTACAGCATTTAAAATTGGATATCCTGGTTGGAGCCATCCTCCAGGACAGGGGGAAAGAGGAGTAGTGTTGAATCAGTGGCCGGGAGAGCAAAGGATGCCATTGACCTCTGTGCTACTGCTGTCGCTTGGCTGACAGCATGCGGGGCTGGGAGCTTAACTGTCTGGGTTCAAGTCCCAGCTCTGCCCCTTATTTGCTGGGTGGCCATGGGTAGAATACATATGTGTTACATACCAGGGCTCCACCTGACAAGTGGAGTTATTAATAGTACCCATCTCAGCTGGTTGTTGTGCGCGTTAAACGAGATTTGTGTGAAATGCTTTGACGCACCCAACAGAGGTTCAAAATGTCTACTGACATCCGATTTTTTTAAAAATTTATTATTTATTTAGGCTGCGCTGGGTCTTAGTTGAGGCATGAGGACTCTTAGTTGCGACATGCATGGAGGACCTAGTTCCCTGACCAGGGGTTGAACCCAGGCCCCCTCCAGTGGGAGAGCGGAGTCTTACCCACTGGACCACCAGGGAAGTCCCTGATCTTCTAACAGAAGCTTTGGCCCCAAGACTCTTCTGCAAGGACATCATCCTTTTAGCCTTAAATTTCCTAGCTGCAAGCACCAAAGGGATTTGTATGTTTAAAGACCACATGGATAAACCTGACATATCCACACAATGGGATATTATTCAGCCATAAAAACGAATGAAGTACTGACACATGCTTCGACAAGGATGAAACTTGAAAACCTTACACTAAGGACAAGAAGCCAGATACAAAGGACCATAAATTGTGATTCCATGAATAGGAAATGTCCACAAATACAGGAAATGTCCACAGTAGGCAAAGCCATAGAGACAGAAAGTAAATTAGCAGTGGCTGGGGTTAGGGAGAGAGGTTGAGAGCTAAAGGATTTCTCTTCGAGGTGATGAAAATGTTCTACTGTTGACTGTGGTGATGGTTACACAACCCTGTGAATATACGGAAATGATATATGAACGATATACTTTAAATGGGTGAACTGTATGGTATGTGAATTATACCTCAATAAGCTGCTATTTGAAAACTGGAAAGGTACTAACATAACACCGTAAATCAACTGTACTCCTATCTAAAAAGAGGTTTTTTTAAACTGGAAGAGGAAAAAAAAATAATGGAAGGGTTGATGTAAAAAAAAAAAAAAAGGAGGAAGTATGTGTGTCTGAGAGAAGAGAGGGTCACTGTCCCTCTCTTTGGCAGTGGGTGAGGGGATTTCAGAGAATGTATCATCACCTGGAGAGAAGGCACACTGGTGTTGGTTTAGTTATAATTCTTTTTTGGTTAGAGATTTACTGACATATCATTTACATACCATAAACTTCCTTCCCCATAATCTAACGTTAGAACATTTTCATCGCCCCAAAAGGAGTCTTGTCCCTGTCAGCAGTCACTCCCCATCGCCTCCCACCCCCAACCTAGGCAACCACTAATCTCCTTTCCATCTCCATGGATTTGCCTTTCCTGGACTTTCCATACCAGTGGAATCAGGCAATCCGTGACCTTTTGTGCCTGGCTCCTTGCACTCAAAATAACATTGTCAAGGTTCACCCGTGTTGCAGCATGTATTGGTACTTAATTCCTCTTTCTTGCCAAAGAGCATTCCCTTTCAGGGCTCTACCGCGTTGCTGCTCCTGTCGTAATTCTTTAAAGGACGCGTGATTTGTACACGTTTGCCAATAAGTAGCAACTTGTACATTTTGTTCAAGTGGAGGAAAGAGGAAAGAGCTCCACACCAAAAGCTACCGGGCCTTTCAAGGGCACCAGCTCTCCTAGAAAGGGTGTGAGGAAGTACTTATTTGGGGAGGAAGAGACAACAGTTGCTGCTGTTGCTGACCCTGTCTGTGCCTCCACTTTCTCAGCTGTAAAATGGAACTAAGATAAGACAGCCATAAGAACCTGTAAAGGCCTCGGGACATGGGAGCTACTTGGGTGGGTTGCTTGTGTCAGACCCGAGGATTTGCTGGGTGGCAACCCAGCGCTCCCAGCAAGGATGGAGGTCCGGCCCTCTCTCCAAACGGAGCCATCCCCTTCCCACCTAACAACCGTCTTCAAGCAGGTGCTCAGAAACCCACAGGCCCAACCAGGGTCTGGCCTGGCTCAGGGGAAAGTCAGGCCCACCCTGGGGACCGGCCAGGGCAGGAGAGGGTGTTGCAGGGACAGACCCATTGTGGGCCTTTTGGACTGATCGGTGGGAACCACACTTGCTCTCTGCCCCGCGGGCTAGCACCACTCACTGTGGCTTCCCCTTGGGCAATGTGACTCCTTGGCTCGCTTGTCTGTGTGAAGACACAGGAGCCCTCAGGGAGTGTTGCGGGCTGCACCGTGTTCCTCCAAATCTCAGCAAGGGTGAAATGGGATCAGTATGAGGGACCCTGATCCAACAGGACTGGTGGCCCTACAAGAAGAGATGGGGACATAGACACATACAGAGGAAAGACCACGTGAGGACACAGGGAGAAGCCGGCCATCTGCCAGCCAAGGAGAGAGGCCTCAGGAGAAACCAACCCTGCCAGCACCTCGATCTCAGCTTTCCAGCCTCCAGAACTTCCAGATGACACATTTCTGTGTGAGCTGCCCAGGCTGTGGTCCTTCCTCACGGCAGCCCTGCAGACTAAGACGGGGGATCAGCGGAGCCCAGAGCCTGAAGCAGTTCACAGAAATCAGGTGAAAAGCTGAACCTACGGCACAGGTTGTATGTTTTCTACAACCTATAAAATATGGCCAATATCTTATAATAACTATCAATGGAGTATAACCTGTAAGAATTGTGAATCACTATGTTGTACCCCTGAAATTTATATAATGTTGTACAATTTGTATAATATTGTACATCAAGTATACCTCAATAAAAAATTTAATAAAATTAAAACAAAACAAAACAAAACTTGGGAGTTCCGTGGTGGCCTAGTGGTTAGGGTTCTGCACTTTCACTGAAGAGGCCCGGCCTCAATCCCTGGTTGGGGAACTAGGGAACTAAGATCCCACATGTGCGCAGCAAGGCCAGAGAAAATAAATAAACAAAAATGAAGAGAGAGAGACTTAAAAGACAGATCAGTGAAATGCAAGTGTAGACTTTGGATCCCAATTCAAACAAAGCAGTTATGCATAAAGACGTTTTGAGTCGATCAGGGAAATCGGACTTGGGTTGGTTATTAAAGAATTGTCGGGGCTTCCCTGGTGGTGCAGTGGTTAAGAATCCACCTGCCAAAGCAGGGGACACGGGTTCGAGCCCTGATCCGGGAAGATCCCACATGCCACGGAGCAACTAAGCCCGTGTGCCACAGCTACTGAGCCTGTGCTCTAGAGCCCGCGAGACTCAACTACTGAAGCCCGCGTGCCACAACTACTGAAGCCTGCGCGCCTAGAGCCCCTGCTCCACAACAAGAAAAGCCACTGCAGTGAGAAGCCCACGCACCACAACGAAGAGTAGCCCCTGCCCGCCGCAACTAGAGAAAAACCCACGCACAGCAACGAAGACCCAATGCAGCCAATAAATAAATAACTTTTAAAAAAAATAAATTAAAAAAAAAAGAATTGTCATGAGCTGTGACGATGGTACTATGGCTACGATCTTTGCAAAATGTTCACCTGTTAAAGATGCAGACCGAAGTATCCAGAAGTAAACCATTGTGTCTTGGATTAGCTTTAAAATACTATGCCAGGCTTCAAAAACTTTT